CTAAATATTTAATATATATATATATATATATATTAACCTAGTAACTAAATATATAATTAACTGTTCTTTAAATATATATAAGTGAAGTCACATAATTTACATAAATTGTGGTAGGTGAAGTGGCTCTTAAGGCCACTTGAATGCTCCTTGGCCTGGGTTCGAATCCCACCATCAACATTTTTTTGTAAATATGTTACATATTTTGCCAAGTCAGCTAAATCAGCCAAAAAAAAAAAAAAATCGTGTAAAATTCCACGTAGGCGAGTCGGTAAAAGTGACCTTTTTTTGCGCCACTTAAAGGACTAAATCTCTAATTTTTCCACTGAACTACAATAAATGGATAATATGATATTAAGATACAAATAAACAACTGGAGACTTCATATGAGCTAGAACATCTATTACTTTTACGTGGATGTAAGACCATCTATTTAATGGCCACATACACTACAAGTCATGCTCGCAGTTGAAGATGCTCTTAGGCCTCTCCAGAATGATGGGAAGGTATTGCATGGTTGACATGGCAATGTTGACATGGATTGAGGTAGGGGCGGAGCCTCCCTTGGGCTAGGTTGGGTTCCAACCCCATGTCCATTGAAAAACAAAATTACTAAATTTAAAATTTTTATATATATCCTCGTGTAATTTTTTAGCCCCTTTAATTTCAAGTTGAATACCTCAACATTCAGGTCAAATTCTTTCATCTGACAACAATGGTGAATAAGTGATGATCGTAGTAAGAATAAATAAGACAATTTTTTATTGCAAATGATAAATATGCCCTTACTAGATTTTTATCAGTTGGATTTATCATGTGGCCCAACATTCTATTGTCTTTTAAATTTTTAATGGGTTGACTTGACAAGTACCAATTGAGCTGGATAATTAAGCTTCACACACACTTCTCCTGCGGGTGTTTTAATTGGGTTTGTCTCATTGCACAGTCCGTTGTTCATTTTTGTTTGGTTTTTGTTGAACACTCCTTCAATAATTAATTTGACCTCATTTCCTAGACAAAGAAAGAACTTTTATAGAGTTGATTGCAAACATGTTTGATTCTATTTGTTTGATCGACAAGTTCGATTAGCTATTTGAGTTTGGCATGTTTAAATATACAAACGAGTCGAGATTGAGATTTCACAATTTGAATCGAAATATGTTCAGGTAATTCTATTCGAGTCATGGCCAAAACCGATTCCGGGTTGAACCCACCGGTCCTGGGTCGAGGGTTTGAGGGCCCTGAAGTCTTGAACCAATCTGAACATATGTACTGGTTTATTCAACTGTCGGTTCTTCGCCGCCGGATTTATTAAAAAATAAATAAATAAGAAATAATAATATCTTTTAAAAATGTGGAACCTCCAGTTCCGATTCCAGTTCCAAAACTGAACAGTCGTTTTGAAATGTATAAACTGTAAAGTATTGAACATGTACTGGTTCGGGCCAAACCAATCCATGACCATGTCTACTCAGTTCCAATAATAGCCACAATAATATGCAGTCCCGGATTAAAATTTTTTTGGCGACGCCCCTAGATTGAGGGCCATACTTGGACTGTGACCATCAAGAGCTGGAATGCTTTTACTAACACTTAGTCTTATTAATTTTTACTCCTTTGAAGCTTTTTACATACATCTAATATGGATTTAGGTATACTACTACACTACATATGGAAACCGATGTTGCTAAGTTACGAGAGCTTCCATGCTCGTCCCCCATTCATGTTGAACTTTTTGAGCCTACCAAAAATCATTACTACTATTAGGACGATTTTGCCCTCGTCGCTCCACTTTCCCGAAAACCCATACCATTTGTTCACGCAGTTCGGGTCGGGCCTTATTAGACGGTCGCAACTGTATCCGGTTGTGAAACCTACATTTCCATATGCGCTGCAGTTGCAAAATAAAAATAATAATAATAATAATAATAATAATAATAATAATAATAATAATAATAATAATAATAATAATAATAATAATAATAATAATAATTGATTTTATATATCCTCAAACAAAGAAGAGCCCAAAATAAAATTTATTGGGATTTTATATAATGTTTTGGGAATCATTGTAAAAAGTAATTGGAATTTTCTCTTATGAACAAAAAATCTTGAATCAAGCATATATGTGTGTTATTTTGGATTCCATAATTTTGTGGTGAATATAAGTGAGAAGTGGCAGTTTATCAACCCTGATATTTAAGCATTTATGTATTAAAGTGGCATCCATTAGGCCACTATCCCTATATGGAGTAAGCATATTATCATTAATTCATAATTCATTAAACACATGCTCGTATACCACAAATAATATGATTGAATAATTGTAGTTCTATTATGATTGAATAATCATTGTTTAATAATTCGCGTTAAACACATGCTCGTATGCCATAAATAATATGATTGAATAATTGTAGTTCTAAATGTTACACTACTATGATTGAATAATTATTGTTTAATAATTCGCGTTAAACACATGCTCGTATGCCACAAATAATATGATTGAATAATTGTAGTTCTAAATGTTACACTATTATGATTGAATAATTATTGTTTAATAATTCGCGTTAAACAAATGCTCGTATACCACAAATAATATTACATTTCGTTTGATTTTAAAATTTTCTTAATTTTGTAGACATATTTTTTTTTTTTTAATTTCAAATACACGTGTTGTAATAGTTAGTGTTACGTTTACCTTATGACCTCGACTATGATATTCAGCACGCTGAAGTTTATGGGATCGTCTTTGAGGCTCTTTTTCTCCGTAATGCATATGATAATAATGAAGATGGCAAGATAAGATAGCTGTGAAAACAAGAGGTTTTCTGCAATTCTTCTCTTAATTTGCTTTCTTCCCAATTCGGTGTCGTCATGAATAATTTGTTCATCTCTCTTAATAGGTACAAATGAAGCATATGGTGGAAGGTACCTGTTGAAGCACATTTTGCACAATCACAATTACTAAAAATGTAACACTTTTTAAATTCAACCTCATGCAATTTTTAGCTTTATGAGAGGGAAAGAGAGATACTCACATCATGACCACAAAGAACGCCAAAGTTGCGGGCGCCACAGTCGAGAGATCGACTATGGTCTCGCCCGCGTGCCTCGCGTTTACGCACACGAAAATCACCCCCACCACTTTTTGGTAGCTACCGAGTCCACTCAAACCGGTCGAGTCCCACTCCATGGCGCAAAACAAAACGAACCCGATCAGTATAAACCCGAACACTGTACCCACAAGAAAAGCGGTGTGGGCCCGGGGAAGAAAATGGGTGTATCGGACCTCATTCTCGTTGCGCAACAAGTACCGGGCCTCGGCCTTCTTGAACCTTTTCCCTATGGCCCAAACCGCGAGCCTCAAACCCGGCGGGAACAAAGTGTTCCCAAATAGGATTTGCGGGATCAAAATCAACAAGAGGCCCGAGTTTTTGCCGAACACTACCATGTTCTCATTCGTCGGCACGAAGCCGCAGTTCGAGAAAGACGAGACCACGGTGAAAACCGCGAAAGTGAATATTTTGAGGCCCTTCCTCCGCAAAACGCCTCGCGCGCTACGAATTAGGGATAGATAGACCAATACAGAGAAAACACCGAGAATGTGGAACACCAAAAGGTAACCCAACACGACAAATCCCAAGAACTTGATGGTATCGTACTCGATAAACGGGTTTCCGCCATCGGGCCGCGAATCGGGCCTAGAAATCGAACCCATCTCGATTTCTTCCATAGAACTAAACGAGACGGGCCCGATTTTTTCCTCGCCTTTCCATGTCTCGACAAGTTTGAGCCTCCTTAGGTGGAGCCCGAGCATGGAGGTGAAAACCTCACCGCCAACGAACATCAAAACGGTCATGAAGATCAATTGGGAGTCGGAAAAGACTTCCATCTCGACCGTGGACATGCTCGAGACAGTGGCGGCCGAGACGGACGTGAAGAGCAAGTCGATGTCTCGAGGTACGAAGTTCGGTGATCTTGGGTTTAAGGATTTTAGGACCCCAAAACCCAGGAAAGAAAGGCAGATAAAGTAGAAAAGATAGATGAAAAAGGGGTTGACTTTGAAGAGAATGTGTCTGTAGTGACAATGGATGAACAATTTTGCCAAGTTCCATGATTTTGTACAAAGGTGTTGCAATTTTTTGCCATAGCAAGTTAAGCTATTCATCTTTTCTAACAACACTCAAACAGAGAATTTTGATTTTTTTTTTCTTTTTTGGCACTTCCTTTTTTGTAGGCTTGCACTGAAACAGATGTGGGAATGGGTATATATATAGGGAAAGTTTCAATTGGAACAGTTACAGTTAATTCTGGTTTGCTAGGATAGTTATTACAAAATGCTATGGAGTCATCGGATGGTTCCTTTATGGAGCCATCTATAACTTTATGTATTGACACGTGTCCAATGTGTATTTATTGCAGGACACGTGTTAATACACCATTTGTGGATGATTATGGATGACTCTATAAGCTGAGCCATCCGATGACTTCATAGCAAAACCGATAATTATTATTATTATTTTTTTTTTTTCTTTCCCTTAAGTTTCAATCCATAGAAATTAATCAACCACGTAAATTTTAATAATGGAAACGAGGATAACACATGGGAAAGAGACATCATAATGCCCCCGGGGCGTAGCACAGTTGGTGGGATGGGGGCCCGCATGCTCGCTTGCAAGCACTGCGTAGAGGGATCGAAACCTGGGAGGAGCAAATATGCAGATACCTGAAGTGGTCGGACCTCTGGTTGCCCAAGAGTGTACAACTTCGGACTAATTGAAAACCACTGTTGCAAGTCTTAGGTTTAACTCCCGAAATCTCTGTGGGGCCGGGGACTAGGGCTAGAGATTGACTGCAACTCTGTATAGTGGGGCTGGAACCCTATGTATCAAAAAAAAAAAAAAAATAGGCACATAACGAATATGAATCAAAATAAATTCTTAATAATGGAGATCACAGTTTATATTCCTTATAAATAAATAAACTATATGTTAAATGACTGTTAAAAAATAGACGATTGATTAATGTTATGTAATAATTGACTGTTAAGAAATATTAGCAAAATTTAGTGGATAACAATTCACAAAAGAAACAGAGAAATAATATACAACAGCCAAATTGGAGTGTGCTAAAAAAAAATAAGCAATATATAATATTGTGGATTGAAAACAGAAGAAAATGATTGTGTAGCATGAACCTCTACCGACGACTAATATTGTCAGATATCTAATGGTTTATAATCTTATAAAAATCATTAGGCACACAAATCTATATATTCATATATATTAGTGTAACTGCATTTAGCTGGCAATTTAGTTAGTTAGAGATTAGTTAGTTCATAGTTAGGGTGTTAAGTCACTGGTGTAGATTATTATTATTATTATTATTATTATTATTATTATTATTATTATTATTATTATTATTATTATTTAAATACGAGATACTCTCTCGTAAAACACGCAAAACTCACAATATCAATTGTATCTTTTATTCATAATCAACTGCCTAAAACAATATATGATGAGCCATTTAAATAAGACTCCAAAACCTTATTCCTAACTTGTTCAACAAGACAAGATCTCTAATAATATTATTTATTTTCTAACTTATTGTCTAAGATATCTATAATAATAATAATAATAATAATAATAATAATAATAATAATAATAATAATAGTAATAATAATAATAATAATAATAATAATCTACATCATTCTCCTTCGGTTCGAAAGGCTTCGCCCTCGAAGCCGATGCGCACCCGTGGCCAGCGTATGGTGTCGAACCCATGGTAGTAATTCCCGTCGTTTCCCCATGTCGAACACGAAGGTTGAATGCTTCACCTCCATGGTATCACCCCCTTGAAATTAATGGAAAGACATATATGATGCAGCCACACACAAAATATTGAAGTCACCGTGGGGACAAAAAAAAACATCAGTTTGCAAGGTCGCAACAAATTCTCGTGGGAGAAAAGCTCGGGCCTGCGCAATAGAAAAACAACCAATTCTTCTAGCAGCTGAATTTTGACACACGGAACATGATGGAATTCCTCTAGCCCAGGGGATTCCTCATCGAAAATCGGCGGACTGTCGTAGAGATCGTCCACTTCGTCAGTAAGACGCTCCTTCGCCTCTTCGGGTCCTTCATCAAACACAGGCAGACCATCGTACAATGGTGTAACGCCCCACTTTTATTTGCAGAAAATCAGAATAAATTTTTCAAATTTATTTCAAAACACTTGAGGCGCTACTCATTTTCAAAACAAGTTTTTAATAATATCATAAATACAACATCCAAACGGGTTCACTAATCATGTCAACACCCAAACCGGGTTCTTTAATAACATCAATTCCCAAACTGGGTTTCTCAATTTCATAA